GGTGTCAGATGGCGGTTCTCACTTCAAGAACGAAGTGATCGAGAAGATGCGGAAGTTGGTGGGTGCCCACCATCATATCACGACAGCCTACAGTCCTTGGGCGAACGGGACTGTAGAAGTAGTCAACCGACTAGTGCTGCGCGCCGTGAAGGCGCTGCTCAGCGAAATGAAGCTGAACGCGGACGAATGGCCGCATGTGTTGCCCCTCGTTCAAGGCGCCCTTAACCATCAGCCGGCGGACCGGCTGGGAGGAATTGCGCCTGTGACAGCGTTTACCGGCCTGTCAGCCAAGGCCCCGCTGGCAGGAGTTGTCCACCCGACGTCCAAGGAAGTTTACGTCACGGACTGGCTTGGCGCCGCCCGTCAGAAACATGTGACGGACCTCCAAGTGGCGCTAGAAGAAATGCACCGCAACGTGGCGGTGCGAAGCGACAAGTTGCGTCAGATTGGCCCTGCATTGGCGAGGACCCTGCCAAGTGACCAGAGTCATCACAGACCATTTGATGGAGACTCAGCAGCTGGTGCCACCGTATGAAGTCACGGTCCACCATGCGTGCCGACTGAAGATGTACCACGAAGGTGGTAGCGAGGTGACCGAAGACCTCGAGGCGCAGATCGCGTTTGGCGATGGCGGATTTCATGTGGAGCGCCTGGACGAAGCGCGCTGCGTGGATGGCCAACACCAAGTTTTGGTGAAGTGGCTTGGACTTGACGATGAAGAATCGTCCTGGGAACCTGCGGCGAATTTGCTGGACGACATTCCAGTCGTATTTCGCAAGTGGGCGGCGGCGAACAAGGAAGTCCCTGCCGCCCTCATCAAGACACTGGACTTTCCGTAGGAGGGGAAGTGTTCTGCAGCGTGCAGAGCAATTTGGTCGCGCGTTAGTTTGACCCATTGCAAACACACACACTCCGTGTGTGCGGCGTGTCAAAGGTTCCGATACCTTAGTGGAGGTACTGAGTACTTTAGTGATTGGTAGTCAGTAGACGCCTCGTAGCGTGTTTAACCTCACTAATATCAGTGTGTATATTTGCTGCCTTGACGAAGGTCCCGTGGCCGAAAGCCAAGAAGAAGCGGGAGACAAAACACATGACCACTGCGATGGTTACGACTGCACGGGTCAAGCGTTTGGGATATGTCGCACCTTCGCATTGCGCTTTACAACACAAATCGTTACATTGCTTGTCAAGTGCTGTCTGGTGGATACTATTAACTTTCCAAAGTCCGACGCTGGATGGCGTGCCCAAATGGATGGATTTGAGGGGTCCCTTCGGTTTGTTGCGCAGTGGACGGGACGCTCCTACGTGTTCGACGGTTTACAGACCATGAAGGTTGATATTGTCGCAAAGGCTTCCCAGCCTTCAATGTCCAGGCGCCAGTGTCCCAGAGCGATCGCGCCGTCTTCAGAGATTCCATTTTCGGCGCCAGCCGTGCTGTTTCCTCTGGCGGCATCATTCTTGGTGATGCTGGCTACACTCTCCTGTCCCATCTGATGACTCCGTTACCCATTGTTGAAGACATGCACGACGACGAGTCGCACTACAACCTCTTGTACTTCAGAACTCGTATGGTGGTAAAACAAGCATTTGGGTTGTGTAAGGCAAAGTTTAGGATCTTTAAGAAGGCTCTAGAGCAAAAGGATCATACAACCATGGCTGTTATAGTCCAAGCAACGATGATTATCCACAACTGGATGATTGATCTACGTGAGGATGAAGAAGAAGTCAATGTCCATGAGTGAATGCATATTGCCGGGGAAGTTGTATTTCTTGCAGACATGTATGTTATCGATGGCAATCAGGCCAAAATAGGACGTGATAGTTTGAAAGAGTATCTAGCAACACATATTTCTTTGTAATAAATTTATACAACCGAAAATTTCCCGTCCTCACACTTCCACAAAATTTGCTATTATTAGTAAAATTTAATGTACCGGTACTATTGTTGCTCGGCAACAAAAAGGCTCTCAATAAGAGCCATAACTTGAGTTTGAATCTCAATAATCTTGTCCACGCTTTCCTTGAGATGAATAAGAGCATCTCCAATCGATACTGAACGATCAACATGTCGACCTGAACTTACAAGGCCCTTTGCAAGGCTCTCACCCAACGAAACAATAGATGCTGCCATGTACATCTTCTTGGCTCCTTTTTCGCGCTGGCAATCGACTTCGCCCTTGTCGTCTTTCCACATTGGCTGTGCGCTTGGATGACGTTGGCATCATGCCGCCGTCTGCTTCTTCAATGTCTTGTTCAATGCTGTCCACGTTGTCATGTTCGGTGTCAGAGTCGAAGCCAGGGTTGATCGTGCGATTACGAGCACCCTCCTCTGTCGATTTGAGTGCTGCGTACTCCACGTTTCCCATACCACTCTTGGCCGCAAGCCAACTCTGCAGGTCCGACCAGGAGGGAGGCTCCACCACGCTTGACGATGAGTTGCCAGTTTTTGCCAGGTCCTTGCAAATGGTAGCATACTCGATATCTTGAGCTTGTGGTACTTTGGTAACGGATTGGTCGCAGTCCAAGTTGATTGCAAAGGCGATCTTTCCCCACGTACGCGACAGCTGCTTGGCGCTTTTGGGTCCTTTTAATGGATGATCATGCGAATCGCATCGGTTATGTAGGAACGCAACCACCATGGCCGTCACCCACACGAGCTTCTAGGTTTTTGTACCATGGAGGACCTTGTACGGATCAGTGATACTGGTTTCGCACGTCCGGGATCAGTGGAAGGAGCAGTGGCATGAGTGGCCTGTTGGGCGGGGAACTGCTTGTAGATCTCGACCATTTCATTCTTGGTCAGACTCATGGCAATAGGCAAATTTCGCAATTCAATCCGTGTTCGCGTCCGTGAGAAAAATGACACGGACACGGATTAACTGTAAATTTAGACGATTTCGCTGTATTAATAGAATTCCGCGTCCGGAATAAACATAAGGAATCTGCTACTTTGCAATCATGCTGTCCGTGGAAGAACTTGTCATGGCTTACAAGCGCTCTCGCTTCGCGAGGCCTGCCCGTCGTCGCAGACTTCTGTTCGCACTCATACGGTCGGTCGACACCATACAAATACACAGAATCCTTCTGGAACTGTTCATGGTTGTCGAGTATCAGGTGGAACCTGTGCGATGATTTCTTACCGTCAACTTCGAGTACCTGGCAAGAGAAGCCAGGAACTTTAACTCCCCTAGGACCAAAAGCAAGTTATTCGTGAGCACATACCCCAAGACTTCATGACTGGTAGATGTTGGAGGAATGTTCACTCGTGGTTGGCCTGTATCAACAGCGCTCTTCCTACAAGATACTCATTTCGACAACGATTCTATTGGATACTCCTAAGTAGGAGGGGTACAGTGAAAGCGTAAGGGCTCACATATACACCTAGAATGAAGACCTACTGCGTCCGTAGGGTAAGTCTTTCGTAGGTATGGTGAGGGTAACGTGAACTAAGGTGCAATGCCACTTGCTCACGTGTCAACATGACTACAACGAGCAGAGGCCTCCTTATGACGATTTCGCATTCCAATATTTAGCAAACATTAGGAATAACTGCTGAAATGTCGGAATATGTCGAACTATTTGGTGAACTATCGCTGCATTTGAATTTGTATGTGAAACCAGGATATTTCATATTCCATTCCGACCAGGGGGTGTCGGAATGTGTCGGAACCGACAGAATTGAGCTTGCCCTACCCCTGTAAATGACTTTGATTAGTCAAAATGGTGTAGGATAAGATACTACAACAATATGATAGGTAGAAATAGATAATAGAGACGATTCATTGGCCAAAATTAGTGTATACAAATACTAAGTGAGGTTGAAATATTGATCATTTTCATCGATAGGAAATATATTAGTTACGTTGACCGACTGTAGTTACTGTGAACATGATCTTTATCGGAGCTTGCCCATCTCAGCTCCGCTCCAAGCTGTTACTGTGAATCGGCCCTTAATAGGCTTCCTCGCTGACGGCGACTTCTTACTGTAGGTCAAACGGAAGAGCATTCCAAATTGCTTCACGATCGTGTACACAGTGACCACCGTATATACAGGTTTTGCAAGCGTCTTATCTGCCAAAACCGGAAGTTGACCTGTCAAACCTTATGTTGTGAAGGCGATACAGTAGATGCCTTCAGTTTACGGTTGTCACTCACTCTCCACGACATCTACAGTATACTATAATTGACGTTGTGTTCTGGTCGCTACGCTCTTTGGGCAGGAGAAGCGTGTTGGGCTCATAACCCAAAGCTCAAAACCATACCGTAAGTGCTTGTGAGTGTTTTTGACGTCCATACAAACACGGAGTTAATTTGTGGTCATCACAAGAACGCTTTCAAAGCTACATCTACATATATCGAGTTTTTTTAACGGTACTTGCAACAAAGATGCCGAATTGTCGTGATATTTCAAGTGGCAAGACAGGTATCGATGCGACGGAGCAAGACGGCATTTCGGTCGCACTTGGACCAAAATCGGGGATGTTAAAAGTAATTTTTTGTCGTGTTTTCCTAGTCGAGAAGGAAGCTGTCGATGGCGGCTTCAATACGCTGGTGGCCCCACTTTAGGTGGCCGCTGTCGGTGGGTTTGGGCGAGTACATGTCGCGGCAGTGCGACGATTCCAGGATGTCCACGACCGTGGACCGCGGGTTGAGCGTGCCAGTATCGTTGGTCAAGGCCAGCGAGTCCCACGGGTCGTTGGTGCCCGTGGAGAAGACGACGTTTTCGACGTTGATGTTGAGTCCGCCATAGGCGAGGTTGGTATTGGCCACGCGGGTGTCGACGTTGGAGATGTTGAACACGATAGCGCACAGGATTTTGGTCTGGACGTGGATGTTGTTGAATTGGAGGGGGACGAACGCGCCGTACCCGCTGTTGGTGGCCTGGCCATACCCGAATTCATTGCAGTTTTGGTAAAACCACGGCCGGGCCACGGGGTTGCGCACGAACCGCGACCGCGAGTTGTACTGGAAGAACATGCCCCCAAAGCTGTTGTACGTGCACTTGTTGGCCGCGACCGTGTGGTTGATGAACCGCGAGAGCTTTTCCAGGGGTTGCAGCGTCGGGTCAGCAAACGAATGGCAAATGCCGGCCAATGTCGTCGACGTCAAGTCGTCCGAGGTGGCCGCCCTTTGGAATTTCGAGTAGATTTCCCGCTGAAATACGCCACGGTCTTGGTCGGATGTAAAGTTGTAGCACGGGTTGAACAGCTCCTTGAGGCGGGCTACGTCCGTAGGTTCCTTGCTCACCATGACGCTCTGGAGGCGCTCAAACGCAGTCTGGATGTTCGCCACACACGCGTACCCGCCATAGTACTGCAGCGCCTTGGAAACGTGCGTGCTGAACTCGTAAAAGTCCACTTTTGCATTCACGGGCGCCGAACTCGCCCATGTACCGGCAAACCGCGTGGGGTACTTGAGCTTGACCCACGCGGCCAAGTTGCCGGCGTAGCTGCCCCCCATGGCGACCCACTTGGCATTTTTGATGTCGAGGGCCCCCGTGAAGAAGTCCTGAAAGTTGGCAATGTCCGCCAGTGCTTGATGCGACGTTAAAAACTTCATGTTGGGCGTGGCAAAGTCGGCAAACGGCTGCGACTTGCCGTAGAACCGATGCTCCAAGCTCACAATGAGCGCCTTGTGTTTCTTGGCTAGTTGGTTGAAAAAGTATCCGTTGGACGTGACCGACGCGTGCGACGAGACCCACTCGCCCTCGATCACGAGGAAGACTGGAAACCCAGGCCCGCCGTAATGGTTCATGTTGAAGTGGAAGCGCTGGTTCCACGTGCTGTTATTGCTGGGGTCCGTGTGGTCGACCTTTTGACGGTTGAACCAGTGCTCTTTGGTGGGGTCGGGGAGGCCAGCTTGAGACGACAGGAAGACGCTCGATGGCGACGGGGATTCGAACGAGTGCACGTAGTCACCTGGTTGAAAATGGTCTTCGATCTCCGATGGTACGGGGATGGGAACATTTTCCAGCGAAATGGGGGGCGTACTTGCCACTGCCGCCGTGGCGGCGTCGACGAGCGGATCAAACACAGGTGCTGCATTCGCTCGAGCCAAGGCGACGACGCACGCGGCGAGTGCAACCACGCGAACCATGATACAATCGGTTGAGGTAGGGAAATTTGAAATGTGTGGTCATGGAGAGAGGCACGCGCAGGTTGAATCTTTGAAGGAGTAAGGGTGAGGGGTCAAGTCGAATAATTGGTGGACATTATTGGGCAGAAATGGCAAAGAACGATACTCAGTAGACAAGCGCAAGAAGACGACACATGACGGAATGATAGGACAAGTGACACACAACGGAATGATAGAACAAGTGACGAAAAGTGACGAAAATTTCACTCCACTGTTGTTTTGACCCGAAACATTTGACCTCTTGACGTATGATCAAGCCTCCAGTCAGTGGCCAATTACATGTACATTCCAAGTACACCCATGTGTTCTTGGATGGACTTTCATGACTGGTCAGCCATCCGGATACTAATAGTCATTTTGCGGTGGAGATGCTCTTAGGTAAGAAATCGGATTTCTTCAATATTGACCATCTCTTTTTGGAAAAGGGTCACTACATTACAAAAACATCTTATTTTACTTTTTTGGCGAACCGTGGGGTATTTGTCAGTTTGAAGCACTCTATTTGAATGATGAGAATATGAAATACTACTTTGTGTCTAATCAGTCATTCAGTCTCTGGGTTAGAGGTCTATTGTTTCAACGAGGGAATTATCCCATCCGGATATTACTCCGGTCCAACATACTGTCTCGCTTCAACTTCGCCTTATCGCAACATCTGTCAATTTTGAAAGATTTGAAATATATTTATACCAATCGAAAGCTTGGTGTTTTGGCTTTCTCGTGATATTGTTGTAATTTATAAATTTTGTGCTCAAAGTTTAGCTTTCATCAATAGAAAGATGCCAGTCACCCTATTGCATCACCCTATAAAAGGATGCAATCACCGGACTTGATTACAGTAATGTATGGTGGGGGACAGTGCAAACATCTATTATGAGAGGTAAGCTTGCTCATACTTCCTACATATAATTACTCAATATCGACACATTACACATGGATGTTACAATGCAGTATGTACTCATTAAAGTACACATTTTCGCCCGTAAGTTACCTTAGCCCTGTACAGTAAGTAACCTGGGACTCCGTCTGGTGGTTAATTGAGTTTGGATTATCATTTCATCTGGTGGGACCAAACGCATCTGAGTGGTTAGCTGAAAGCTAACCACTCAGATGCGTTTGTACTTAATCCCTAGTTAGCGGTGAGGTGTCAGAGTATGTATACCAATTCCCATATAACAGTAAACACTCATATTGCAGGGTATTCTGAGAAAAACAAGGAGGGAATGGTACACAAGTACTAGTACTCGTGTCTTGGACACAAGTGACATGCGACAGAATGATAGTACAAGTGCCGCCAACAAGTTTGATTGTTCGAACACCAGAGCAGTTAACACCTGGCCCCAAATTGGAAAAGCACCAATCACAGAACAAATATCTGAATACAGAAACTTCTAGCCTTGCAATACGAGTTTTTCCGTTGGGTAAGTACATATGCGACATTTCACTGTTTGATAAGTACAACCCCGTCTCATTAGTAGCTACGTGGATTAGCTGCAGTCCTCAGAGGGGTAATCGCAAACCTTCGCCAAAATATGAGCGCACTTAACAAAGACTATCGCACTTAACAAATATATACTGGTATCAAACATTTGACACTTTGAAATTTAACTTCCATGTTACCTTGAGAATGACAACTTGTGGACTGGGGGGTGGATTTCAGCATACGCCGAAAACTGGCAAGGCTTCATCACTGAGGACGACTGGTGTCATGAAGTACACTGTGTCCACCAATCTTCCATTACATTGCCTTGTGGCTGAATCGTTGTACTCATGCGCTGCGTCCTGTAGTATGGCAGCAAGGCTATGCCCCTACCGTCTATTTTAAGACCAGCTGTTACCATCGTCAACAAACTCACCAACATGACTTGGTCTATGACTCCATTGGGACAGGAAAAATCCATACTCACAAGTCTTTACTAAACGTGAAGTGTTTGTAACAACGCCCATGTTCTGTACTAGTATTCACGACGGAATTGTTGTGATAACGACTAGTTTTGTGTGAAGACGACTGGTTTTGAGTGAAAGTGGCCAGTTTTATTGACAACGACGATTTACATGTGCTAGCACCATATCTGCTGTGTGTGAATCTAAATTGATCTTTTTTTGCTTTTTTAAATATTTGTTGTGACGGAGATATTACCTCTATAAGTGAAGGGAACACAGTAGTAATATCCGGTATTTAAGTTTGAAGGTACTAATTTGAGGTGTTACGTTAGTTGGGATTGATTGAATGCTAGTTGCCCCCCCCCCTTTTTACTATTGAAAGTCCTTCCCCCACGACTACATTGAATTCTAGACTGTCATTTGAGCGGGGGTGCAAAGATGTATTCATAGCGCAAATACACAGGAAATCAACCTGCAAATTTCACAGCATTGAATCATATTATCATTAAAGCTGGGAGTTTTAGGTCTCTATATTGTTGGCATCATCCCCCAAACTTAACAAGGTTTCGAGGTTTCGATCTCTGGAGAATTGACATCGTGACTACTCCACTACCGGTAGTGTAATTCGCAAAGTGCTATGGAGATCTTATGTATTCACTTCCTCATCCAGAATCATCTAACACAAAGCACATGTTCCTACGCCCGACCGAAATTATGCCACACATCACCAACTTCTACGTGTATATATATTATTTTACCCAATGAACACAGCCCCAATCCCAACTTCATTGTGTGCATACATTTTATAGCGATGTAAGCCATGTCTTGATTTGGGGGGCGGGCAGGGGGCTTTATATACATTCACAGAATATTTGAGTTTGTGTGAATAGTAGTTGCGTAGTCCTAACTTGATACTATCACTAAGCCCTTCGTCGACGACTACATTTAATCCAACACTGAATTCAGAATCACACTAATTCAATTTACACCGAACTCAAAGAACCCACCCAACTCAAGAGTTTCGAAATCACTTCCACATTGATTGATTGTAACCCCATTGCTGCCTTGCATAGTGTAAGCGATGTCAAATCCGATTGTTCCCATAAACAAATATTCTGCGTAACGATATCACCGGTACCCCGACAACCAACTGAAGTCTACGCGTAGCTCACTGAAAATTGGATACAAGCGTTGGTGGGGCAAGTAGTTACTTGTACATAGATTAATGCTCCGAAGAACTTCGACGCATAACGTTAGAGCATTTGAAGTTGTCGACATACTGCTCTGTTGCCATAGGGATATCTCCGCCAAAACAGAAAATATGAAAAAGCTCAAAATATCTGGCTTATCATCAAGCTCTGTGCACATTAACCACTTATTTTGTATCCAATCAGACGAGAACTTCAATCATTTTTTCAACCGCCTGCATTTGTTACCAAACATAGGTAGTATGAAATAGAAGCTAGACGGTTTTGTGATATGTTGGAAATTTCTAGGTGACGTGCACCATTACTATTATTAATTGTACGGTTACTAGCACCTACTAACACATTTTGGGTGTTGATTTCCATCGACATCTTCCGCGCAAATTTAGAAGGCGACGGTGACCCTGGCTATTTATCACGTCAATGCAACGCACTTCAAGTGTAGTCTGAAGAAATATTATTCGAAAGAGGCGTTGAAATTGCTTCAGTAATAAAGAAGTTAGAGCATCTCCACTCGTCAGACTTAAAGGAGCACAATACTGTACTAGTAGTACGTCTTTCAGAATAATTCCAGAATTATTGTTCGAATACAAATACGAAGATTATTTTATCCCCAAAAATAAATTTGTAACTAGCAAAATAGAAATGGTAGGGAAAATATTTAATATTCCTACTAATAGCCCATTTCGCCTTTATATTTCCTATGCATTTCAACTTTTATGCTACTATTAATAATCTTAGTACGTATGTAACAGTTGTAAATTGAGTTTTATATCTTGATGAAACAAAGCACCCATATCCGGCCATTTCTGACCCCCTAAGGATAACGGCAAACTCTTATTTGAGAAGATTTGATATAATGTTATGGCTACAGTATTGCCATACCATAACGACTCGGACAAATATTTGCTTGATATGTGCTTCGGACATGCACTTAAGTGAATTTACACATTAAATGCGAATAGTTGTACCATAGGCCTTGTCCGGGAAGCGGCACGGCCTGCGGCCTACCTGCCGCTTTTCCCGACAAGAGGAATCGATTGGACAAAAATTATACACAGGACCTCCGCTACGCTGCGGTGCGCGCAATTTTGTGGGCGGATGCTCTGTCGTCGCTTGCTACTTGTAAAGCTGATCGTTCTTATGCGGGTGTATACAATACACAAGTATGTCCGAACATATTCCGTTCGGACACTTTCACTCGGACAAAATATGTTCCCCTTAAGTCCAATACAAATGTCAAGTATGGTCAAGTATGTCCGACTGAAATTGTCCGAACGGTGTCCGCAAAGTGATCATATTCCACGCATGCACGAGAACTTGTGACGGTGGCGAAACCAAAGTTCACTACGCTGCGGGTAGTACTCCAAAATCGAATACTGATTATTAAAGGTCTATTGGGGTTTTCACAAACTACGACCATAGAGCCGTCTAAACACTCCCGAATCGAACCCAGAGGTGTTCTGGAGATACCACCACAGTTGTGTAGCCGAGTCAATGACCTGTCTTGTTCTTAGAACATCATTTAGGGTAGAACTTTTGAAAACCCGCAATTTAGATTATAATTGTTCCGAGTCGATAAATGTAAATTTTTGCTCATTTGTTGCAATACAATTATGAATTGTTGCGCCGAAAAGAAATACTACGTAGTACTTCGAAGTATATTAAAAATTAGATATTGAGCCATCAAAGCTACAATAAGTTAAATATATTTCCCCCCGGCCCTGGTCAAGACATCTAGAGGGTGCGGGAAACTACCAAAACAGCGAACCTCAAACGAATTTGGCAGCATAAAACGGGGTTCGATCGTACTAATAGCTCTTGTGGGTTGAAGACTTAATCACAAGCGAAGATCCGACGAAGAAGGTTTCTGCCAACCAGGTGAAGCAAGACTAATCCAATCGTGTGACAGCGCGAGGTATCTAGCATCAGCTCCGTCGAGTTTGTTGTAATATGACCATTTCCTTCACCCCTCCAGTGCTACATGCACTTGCTGGGGGTATTCTGCATAGCATGGCGCAGATATAACAGCCACGTACGAGCGTCGTGTCGAAGCTTAGCCTGATACTTGGGGCACCAACCATTTCTTCGGTTTCAGCAACGGTACCGGTAGTAGTAGTAGTGGGTACAGCGACGACAGCAGCGGCGGGTTGGTCGGGCGCACCCGACGCTGTGGTGGCTTCAGGCTGTTGAGGCTTCGCCGTGGTGGTTTCAGGCTGTTGAGGCTCCGCCGTGGCTGCAGTGGTCGATTCAGTGCAGCCCATGGTTTTCAATAATGCGATGTGTACACGAGAGTCGTTATTGAAAAATGAGGTGATCCGTGTACTAGTATATGAACCCCGACGACGCCGTCGGAAGAAGGGCGTCGCCCTTCGGCATCTTCAGCCGTTACGTCCCTTGTCGCTATACCGCCCATGTGTGCGCCTTGATTCTATCAAGGAGCGATGGGAACCTCTGTGAATAACGTTCCTATATGATGTCTCGACAATATGACTTTTCTTATATCTTGCTGTGGAGAGTTGGTGTTGTTGTTGCTGCTACTGGATGTGCTCGACGACAACCACCAACCAGTGCATCAGTTGCTGCTACTGGTACTGTATACTGTACCATCGTTACACGTTCGAGCAGCAATACTGAATGTATGCACTACTTCGGAGTACATACTTGGTCACATGTTCCACTCGACACGACTGTACGTTGATAATATTATGTGTATCTAGGCTGGTTTCGATGCGACGCGGAATAACCATGGTTTGGTGACGTGGCACTCTGTAAGCCCTTCAATGCATGTGTGTCGATTGTGGCCACCACTGCGCTGGGTTCGATGACTTATTACGGTCAAGTTAATATACTGTTGGTGTGATGAATGCGCAAGGTATCGCTAAGTGACTGGCTCATGGAGTCCGCGCGTCATAGATTTTTTTTTAGGAGATCATGTTGAAGTACTCCTGTGTTCCCAGGCAGGCCGAAGTCGACCGTACAAAAAGACCTGAAAATGCAGCTGAGTTGTTATTCTTGGAATGACATCGTTCACTTCACTACGCCCTCCGTATTAATTCTGGCTTGCTCCATGATGAAACAACGCAGTCCACACAAATACACCGAACTCTTTTCGAAGTGGTACTTTTCATGGTTCGCGACAATACCACTACAGTAGTAACAAAGTTACAGTTGTTAATAACTTGTAGCGGAACTTCGAAGGAGTAAACTGTAACTATTACTAATATATATACATACTACTGTAGCATGTAAGTTAGTACTTCGTAGTAACGTTACTGTACCTCGGATTGGTAACGAATGATAGGTTTCACTTTGTTGAGCTTGAACAATAGTTTTCAGTCAAAATAGAAAAGTAGGTTAGTCCCTTGATAATCTGTTTACTTTCACATGTACCAGTAGAGTATTTCCTATAAATCCGATTGCAATGCTCAGAGAGTCCTAATTAGAATGCTTGGTCAAAACCGATCAGGAATGATGCTCAACACTGTGCTTCCGTATAATTTCTATATCTGTGTATTGTCAAATCTATTCGAAACTGGAGCCCTCAGCAGAATCGAATGTCTTAAGAGAATGGATTAAAGAACTGCCTAAGCCAATCAAATCACGTCCTGTCGAGTTTCTGCCAATCCAAACGTTTGGGCAAAACCATATACATACTGATATTTGTATATTATAGTTTGTACGAGCTTAAACTGGATCGAATGCTATTCGACGAAATGACTCGCGAGTCCAAAATTTGGGTGAAATGCACAATACCAATTTCTGATTTCTCCTTGGTGATTCACGAAACAAATACAACACGATACAATATCTAGTATATACTACTAGTACTACTAACCAAGCGGTGGTGTGTTTGTAGTAACGTTACAAAAGGTGAAATGCATATCATGAAAATGCAACACAAGTACATACTGTAGTGTAACGTAGATACACATAGTGTAGAACCTCGCATGCACTTCAGTAAGACCAACTCAAAGACTGTAAGTTGACAAGGTACTTGTTGGGGGCTGGGCATAATCGACACCTCAAATAAGCGGTGTGATTCGAGTCGAGCCACGAGTCAATTCGACAAAGTTGTCATGTTGCCAACATGAAGACAACCATCATCCAAGACAGAGGTTTGGACGATGCAAGTGGCAACATACTAGTACAAAAGCGAGATTTGGTCCATTACATTGTGAATAACTGGACAAGATTTGATGTTAACGTTTATGTTGGGGCAAGCATGCATGTACTGTACACTACTTCGAATGTATATGCTTATGAGGTGAGGCACTGCGAGTCCAACGAGTATGGGATGGCGAATAGAGGTGAGAGGAATGCGAGTTGCACTAAGCTTATGGTGGAGAGATGGAGGAGAGGCAGCCTTCCACAACCAAACTACCGGTACACGCCCCGAAGCTAACACCATCGTGGTTCCTGGTCCTACTAACGCGATACTATACCGTGTGTTGGGTAGCTGCTGGTATCAACAACCAATTTGTCTTAACGTTAGTTCTAGACGCGGGTACACCATTCCCATGCATACTAGTAAGCCATCGGTACAGTAGTTTAGGCAATGTTATATTCGTACGTTGACGTTGACGTTAGCCAGTCCTTGGACACCAACAACGACGATCACACCTCTTGCGGCGATATCGCCAGTCATGTACAGTACAGTAACTGTGACTCTCAAGGAACTTGACAGTGAATATGTACCTTTCAAAATCCTTCAACCCACACTGAGTATACTTTAAAAAATTGTTAATCAAGTGGTATTTTTCTATACTTGAAGCACCATACAAAATCCAGCAGAAAGGAAAATCGATACTATTAATAGTACCGTTTTACGAAACAAAATGTTTCGTGACTGCATATATTGAATCTGTTTCGTATTTGTTTCGTTAATCGTGTATATCTAGTTATAGCGGTTTCGGTGGAGTTTTGTGGTACTGTACAGTCAACGACAGATTTTAGAGGACACCCGAAGTTTGATAACACATGGGAACTTTATAACCAATCCAAAATAGTAAAGAGGATTAATCCAACATGATTGGCCAAAATTAACTTTGGCGCGAAAACATTTAAAATTCGCGGGCCCTACACAGTCGTGACATCGACACCAGTCACTTCAAAAATGGCACCAAAGGACCGCAACCAAATCAACCCGAAGAAGAAGCCACGTCGGCGTTATACGCACGCCGTGAAGCTCGCTGTGCTGTTCCAAATGCACACAGCCTCCATTCGAGACATTGAGGCGGCGACCGGCATTCCCAAGAGCAACGTTTCTCGCTGGATGCAGCAGGCGCATCAACTCCTCCTACACGATGGCTCGCTCAAGCGCTACAACCTCAGTGGTGCTGGCCGCCCTCATGAGCTCCCCGATACGGCTGCACTCGTGGCCTATATGCACAAGCTTCGTGCTGCCGAGCGCGCTGTCACGTGTACACACCTGGTCAACTTTCTCAAGCGCCACCACCGTCCGTGGCTTGACGAGTACTTGGCCGCCAAGAAAGCCGGCTACAACTCTCTGCTCCATCTGCTCCAGCGCTGTTGCCACAACAATGGCTTCACTCGACAGAAGACCGTGAAGTCCAAGAAGACGCAAGCCGACCTGGAGGCCATCCGCGCTGAATTCGCCGCTGACTACAACAAAGACTTTAGTGGCTTCAGTGCGGAAGCAGTCATCAACGTGGACGAAACTGGAATGACGTACGACATGCCCCCTCACGCGATTTGGTCGATTTGGTCGGTGCGCGGCGGTTAGGCGAAGATCTCGGCTGGCGAGAAGAACTCGTATCGTATGACTGCTGTGCTGGCGGTGCGAGCAAATGGCGAGAAGCTTCCCATCCAGTTCATCATGCGTGGCAAGCAAGGCGGCGGCATCGAGACGGCGGAGTTCGATGGCTTTCCTATTGCTCATCAATATGCGATATAAGACAAGGCATGGATGGACTCACGTGTCTGGGCGCTGTACTTGCGTGAAGTTCTCAAGCCGCAGGTCCGAGAGCCTTCTGTTCTTTTGCTCGACAATTTCGACCAGCATGTAAGCAAGCAAGGAGTCAATTATGCCAGTGAAGAAGCGGGGTGTGTTGTTGCGGCCATCCCACCCAATGCAACAAGTCATGTGCAGCCCTTGGATGTTCGTATTATGACCCCTTTCAAGCGGCATATGCGCAACTTATGGCTGGAAGAAGAGCTCATAGAAGGTAGTGATAGTGAGGAGGATGTAGATATGATGACTGTCCCGGCGCAAAAAAAGCGTCTAGCTATGATTCATCGTGCCATTAAGGCATGGGCACGTATAACGCCGGGAGAAATCCGTCGAAGTTTTGCTAAGGCTATTCCACAATAAATTCTCCTTCAGTAATGATTTTACTAGTACATAATTACAAGAAAAAGTTCGATGCGCCCGGGACTCGAACCCGGGGCTCACTCAAGACACACAACGTGTTTTACCACTGCGCTATCGCGTCAAACGCTTACCTTTTGAGGTTGTTCATCAATACGCCTAATCTAAAATATTAGATGTGTTCGAAATTCTGCAAAAGCGATTGCTCTTGTCTGGTTGGCCACAAAATCGAACGAATTTCGAAGTACTTCGTCCAATGAACTTCCGCCATTATCAGAAATTCGAAGTGCAGGGTGTCCCCTAAAATCTGTCGTTGACTGTACTGCAAATGTGATATTACCTGTAACGTTAAAACATATTTATTGTACGAAACCTGTTACTATAATAGTACCAATCATTTCCAATCGGTGGAACTACGTAGTTACTACGTAGTAGTACCGATACGATGTATGATGCACGTCATTAACCAGAAAAAGCAAGGTGTAACGAGCCAACTTTAATTAAACTTCCAACTGTCCAATTCAGAAATAGGTGGTTTTACTATAAAACGTTTTTGAATTGAACTTATTACTGTATTTAACCACGTTAAACCTCAACTTTGTGAGTTATATTTTCTCCTTTATGTAGGTGTACTTTTAATACTACTACAGTACCTGCGTACGGATACGATGTACGGATACCAGTTGCATACTAACATCAAGGTAACCTTCGTGGCAAAAATCTACTAGACCTGGCCCTGTACAGTGTCCTGTACAGTTGGTACTATATTCCACTTGGTGTTTAAAGTCTATTAATCGACCAAGTCTTCGCCAAATTTGATTTTGAGACGTAATATCGCTTCACCACAATGAGACCTGTCGAAACTATGTCTCGTTTTACTTAAATTTTGAGAAATGGATTTAGCATCGTATGTACTCACCAGGGGTAGGACAGAGTCCCAGGTTACAGGGCTACGGGTGAAAAGGTGTAACGTGGGGCACTAGTCATCAGCATCGCTCGTTGCTTACTGTGTTCGTCGATTTCTCGTTGACTACAACACA